TTCTGAGAAGGTCTGTTCATCCAATTAATGTCAGCAGCATGAAAAATTGCATCTAGCCTCCCCCCAACACTCGATGTCTAGATTTCAGAGTGCTGGCAGGAATTAAAATACACATACGTGAAGCATAAACATGCCAGAAAATAAACCCCATCATTTCTCAATACACAGCTCATCTAGAACCAGCATTATTGGTGACTCCAGAAACATAACCTGCCTTGCCACCATAGGGACTAATTATTGCTATTGTCTAAAGGAAATCACTTTCTTTGAGAGCTTGGCCCTGGGGCTTGCTGTGACTGCAACTGTGAACTCCCCTTCCCAGTTCACTAGGAGGTCTGCAGGTGTCAGGGCTGCAAGGGCAGCCTAAGCCATAAACCAGGTTCAATCCTTCCCCAACACTTGCTCACCAACTGGAAAAGCAGGTTATGGCCTGCGTTGGCCATGTTCTGCCATCAGATGTGCACATGTAGTTCTGGGGGGTGCTGGAGGGCCAAATTAGTAATAATTACGCTGTAAACACACACCAATTTTCACCAACATGAAGGCAGGACAGACATGGAGTAGAAATATCCTTGTGTGGATAACAGGTCCAGATGAGAGGAAACAAAGTGGGGTGTGAGCCTTGAACAACTGCAGAGAAGGAAGAAGTGTTTGAATCGGAAATGATAACATAATGGAAATGCTCTGGCTCAGAGATGTAACGCAACTTAAATCGGATAACTGCTATGATTTTCAAGACATTAGTAATTAATGACCAGCATTTGGAGAATGTTAGGTGGATATTACAACAGTTAGGGGAGCTTTCCATTTCTTCATCGTTTAACAACTTGTTCCACCCCGATCCCTTTAAACAGTATAAATCAGCATCAAGGGAATGCAAAGATGTTTTACATGTGGTCTGTGATAGAGGTGCCCTCTATTAGGTGGGAGGTCTATAAACTGCCCAGGATCTTCAGAGTCCATTAACAGGGACTGACAGCAAAGCAAGCCCTGGAGAGTCACCTGTACATCTTGCATCTGTATGAAAAAGGTCTTCAGACAGAGATCAGCACCTCACTCTGCACAGCCCCCAAAGCAGGGTAGCTGGAGGCTGTGTGAACGTCTCCTGTGCTCTCCTGTGCTGCCTCTATAACCTCGTCAGAGTAAAAAAACCACAAAACAAAGAAGACTTTTAACTCCAAAACCCACCCTTGATATTTCTTGTACTTTGTATCTTGTGATCCAGTCAGTCTTAACTCTTCAGTATATGGATGATGGTTACAGAGCTTGTGAGCTCTGTTTCTCAACTGAAATGTTTACCGCTTTAGAAGCTGCCTATTGATGCACTCTACATTGCTGGCAACTCAACAGCTTGACAGCTAAAAAGTAGTTAAAATAATTTCAGCAAACTGTTAATCTACAGGCCTTTTCTCCTTTCCCTTCTCCCAGCTCCTGTGGTTATTTAATAAAATAGGTCACTATTTTCCTAAATTCTCCCTTCTGCTCTTTTCTAATGGTAAGGGGCGGGGGGGGGGGGGGGGGTGGGGAGGATAATGAGCTGTATCACTAAAGAGTTTATGTACAAAATCCTGTCAAAAGTACAGTGCAATTAGAAGTGTAAGGAGAAAATCAGAGACATGTATCTTTAATCTTAGTGTATTGTAGCAAATGTTGATGTTACCTGCAAACACTGCAGTTGTACAAATCCAGAGTATGAACTTTAGTTTAAAATGTTCCAGTGAAACTGTGACTCTAAAAAGCTGTTTCAGATGGTTTACCCAAACTACAACAAAGATAAAAGTTTCTTTCTCTGCATTTCAGCCCCCTCCAAAAACCTTAATTTAAAAAAACATGAAATTTTGTAGGCAGGGATACCTTCTGTCAAACAGTGCCAATTAAAACTCTGGAGCTATAAATACCAAATTTGAATCAGACTGGCACCTGGACTGAAGCCTAGTGAAGGTTAGCAGGGGTCAAATGTGCTTGGAATGGGATCCATCAGGGATGGGAAAGCTGCAGGAGGCCAGAAATTTCATACTCTCTAACGTTTTTGACACCTGATTTCTGAATAAACTTGAGCCAATGGGAATCTGAGGCTTAGAGAGAAAATAACATTGATGCTTCCTTGACCTGTTTGTTAAAGATCACACCATGCCAATCATAGATGCCCAATTGGTATCTCTGGGACTAATCCCTTTTACTTACTGGCAGGCTGGAGGACAGGATAACTTTTTTCACCTTGTTTGTCAAAGTATCTCCAGGGGCTTACTTGAGAGAAGACTAAGGAAAGAGGAAGTTCAGATAACACAGAGGTTTAAATGGTGAGGATAATCAGCTGCCATAACAGTTTTCCAGTAACTGTTATTTTGCACCATTTAAAGTCTTTAAGAAAAGGGCAAATTTATAATTAGCATGTAATGACAAGTATAGTAGTATAATAGTAGTAAACTATGCTAGCATGAGTAATCAATGGTATATTGATAAGGCAGTTTTACTATGGACTAAGTATTTACAAGCAAAGCTGCATTTTTAACTGGACAGCTTATTCTGCTCCCACTGAGACCAGCTTCTCCTGGGAGACAGTTTTGCCTCTATGGCTGTGCTGACACTAGAGAGCTGAGCTGAGCAATGCTGTGTGTTTGTCAGGGAGCACCCTCTCCATCAGCCGGGAAGGTGACACTCACTGCACAGGGGTGACTGGAGGCCTGGGGTAGCCCCCAGCCCTGCCTGGGCAGCAGTGCGGGAGCTAATGAACCCTACCGTTAGCAGGAGCTCTTAGCTTGACCTCAGGAACTGTATCTACTAACAACAAAACGTTTCCTGCTGAGACCAGGGTGCTGCCTGCCAAGGTGCCCTCCCGGCCGCAAACCCCTTCTTCTCTGGAGTGCCAAGGCAGTGACCCTCAGACCCATTTTTAATCTCTCTCTGAAGGGATCTGCCTGCCAAGACTGCCTTGTGAGCTGATGCGTGGTGGTAAACCCCCACTGCCCCACCACAACACCGCCCTGCTCAGACCCCTCGTGCCCCACCACTGTCTGTCCCTGCAGCAGAGAAGGGAGCTTTGACAGATCTTCCCACTTGCTAGGTCTGCTAGCAAGTGCTGGTCTCTGCAGAGCATTAAGCTGCAATTTCCTCCCCATTTTGAGTCCACCACACGGCGCTGCTTCCTGAGGTCCCATCACCTACAAGTGGGGAAGAAATCTGGCTTGCTGAATCTTCAACTGTTGGTAACGACGCATGAAAACAGAGACAAACCAACTCGATGCTCAGAGCTCAGGTGGAATTTGCAAGAAGATTATCATATGGAGAATTTGATACAGAAAATACCTGGGAGACTGACTCCAAAGAAGCAACACCTGAGCGAAGCTGAATTAGCACACACGGCAAAAAAGCCACCCCGAGACCTGCCACCTCCTAGAACCACTGACATTGCTTCCTGAGAGAAACTTGACTCATTAATGACTCCTTAAGGGATATTTTTAAAATATGTACCACCTCCCACGTGGTATGTATGTCCCTAAATGACATTTGAGACTGGAAAATCACATGACAAATAGGTAGCACATCTGTAGTGTTGGCTTGACAAGTTGAGCTTTGATGGAGGACTGTGCTTCCCCATTTGACGTGTGTGCTGCAACAGGGAAAAGAGATTTAATGCTAATCAGGTGCATTAAGGATGAGCTCTGTAATAGTCTTTAGGCAAACTAAGTGCTCATTCTTGAAAGGCTGATTATATATTTTATCTTCCAATCAGTAAGTGATGCTTTTTTTAACCCTGTTTTCATCAATATCTTGATAGGCCTTTTCTCCTCCCTTAACTGTATTTTAAATGGAATGTTAAAGCTTTTCAAAAGGTGCTAAATGGATGTCTTTGTGTATTGGTATCTTCTGTCCTCAGCACAAACATGACAGTGCCATCCTCCCAAGTCACCCAGTCCTGATCTGCAGAGACTTTCCAGAACTACGTTTATGAAGAGGTCTTAAAAAAGCATCTGCTTTCTCAGATGCCCTGTCACTACACAGCAGGTCTGCAGGGATGGTGAAACCGTTGGGGGATCACATAAATTGTGATTATAATTCACTTCAACCAACAGAATACTGCAACTTGTTACTCAATTTGATCAGACCAACAACTACAGGGTATAGGACATTTTAGTTCAACGGAAATACCGTGGATCTCTCCTGAGAGGGCTTCAGTGTGCCATTCAGCCCACACTCTTAAGAGTCAGCGAAAGCCCAGTGACAGGAAAGGAGGCCTTGCAGCTTTGATGTCA